AAAGAGAAAAAGAGAGTGATTTATTTTCAAGTAGGCCTAACTTCATGAAGTTGGACCATGCCATCAATGCTCAACCACATCCTCATGTTTATAATCTATATACATCATTGAATTCTTCAAATCATTATTTGCATAAAGATAATGATTTGAACAACAATTACTATTCAAGTGAGCATTATTATCTATTTGCATCATCATCTATGAAAATAAAATGTATTTGAAAACAAAAGCAACGAAAAATTTGAAAAAGAGTCCTCATTTTTATATAATTTTTATTTTTGTACGAATACAACTTCCAAATTTCAAAAATAGGTTTTTGATGTTTTGAAAAGTGATTTTTCATTACATTTTATCAAAAAATAGTTTTAGAAAAGGTTCACCAAACAAGTTGTCTATGTTTTTTTGATTAAAGAATACAAATAACAAAAAATGAAAATACAACCAAATAGTCACTAACCTATTTTCTCTTGGACATTTTGGGTATGGCTAGTGTATTTGTATTGAGAAATGATATTAATCACCAAACATATTTTTGCTATTTTATTTCACTTTCATACATGATAAATACATAGAATTTGAAAAAATTATGTAAAATATTCCAATAATATATAAAAACTCACTTTTATATTAGGAAAATATTTAAAACCCCTAAAATACCACCTACAAATTAACCCTAAATGATATGAACTATCACATGTAATTGTTGATTTGTTTAGGAATCAATCAATTAAGACCCGACCCTCTGCCACATCAGTATAAATAAATTTAAATTTAAGAGTGATATTTTAAGAATCACTAACATTACATTTTATATTATGGAGGGAAAAAATGTGAAGAAAGCAACTTCAAAATCATGTCCTTCATAAAAGAAAAAAGAAAAAAACAATACCCCACTCAAAAGATTATCCCCCCAAAAAATTATTTTGGTAGGTTGGGATGTTTTGAAAGAATTAGAATGTTTAAAAGGCTAGGCATTGGAGGACATACAAAGACCTAACAATGTTGCCCCCACAAGGGACAATATGTGAGTGAACAAAGAGTTTGAATCCCCACTACAAACTATATTAAAACCAATCCAAATAAATATAAGAAATATAAATGCCCCATCATTTACAATTAATGAATGCTTAAGAAATTATGAGCTTTCATTATGAATAAGAGTAGTGCTATGAAAATATAAAATGATATGATAAATTTTAAATCTATCATTTTAAAATAAAACACTCGGTAAGATTAACTTATAATTTTAATAATGTTATACTGTCACATTATTCTTATAATAAATTTTGTATAAAAATTCTATAAACATTATATTCTTATGAATTATGAATGTCTATTAATGATGGTAGGCTCCTACATGACTGATGTTTGAGCAATTAAATAATCCATTCTTCATTTAAAATATGAACCAAAGTTCCCAACACCTCACATAAGATTAACTTATAATTTTAATAATGTTATACTGTTACATTATTCTTATAATAAATTTTGTATAAAAATTCTATAAACATTATATTCCTATGAATTATGAATGTATATTAATGATAGTAGGCTCCTACATGACTGATGTTTGAGCAATTAAATAATCCATTCTTCATTTAAAATATGAACCAAAGTTCCCAACACCTCACATGGCTTACATGGATTGACATTAATCAGGCATGTGTTTTATTCTACGTTATACGGACTCTTCAAAATAAATTAAATATTCGTATTAGACAGTTGACACTTGGATAAGGGTATAAGATATGTGTCGGATAATTTTCAACGGATACTTCTTATATAATTATATATAACACTATTATTATTATATATATATATTGTTATATAATTACTATAAATATCTTTTTGACAATATAAGTTATATATATAATACCATTTTATCTTACATACTCGATTAAAAATATAAAAATATGACATTTGTTTGTCCAATCCTCATACCCTTAAATTTATGGTTTTATGAATTTGACATCCAAATATATACCGGCCCGACCCGACCCGACCCGAATTCATGTAACATACGTTATATTCACGTGAGATCAAAATTTAGAAATAGTTTTTAAGATTAATGAGGTTTACAGGAGTCAAAGAGTTTATGGGAGATTTTTGTCTCTTTCTCTCAATCTCTTGTAATCTTCGCTCAAAGTTCAATAACAATTATTAAGAAAGATGGAATGTATGAACAATAAAGGTGATAAATTACAAGTCTCACGCGGTTTAGCATAATTATAGATACTTTTCATTTAGTAAAGTTAAAAAAAATAAAACTATTAATTCAAATGTTATACCGACACAAGAATAAATAATATTAAAATAGGAATTTAAGTATTCATCCATATAATTAACTCATGATTGATGAAAAGGAAGCAAATTGTGCGAACTAAAATTTTAAAAGTGCAAAGTGTAATTATGTAAATTCGTGGGACTTAATGTATTTTTTTATTTTTATTTTTTTTGAAATCACAAGAAAAGTTAGTATGCTTTACACAAAAATTTATGAACTTTTGAATTTTTTATTATTTCTTGACTAGCTGATCTTGGGTTGGACGGCATGAGGGGGAATCAGTGAGTTTAAGAATTGCGGTTTTCCCCTAAATTGCAGAAATAATTGATTAACACCGGCAGCCACCTTTAGTGTTTTTATCCATGTTGTTTTGTGCTCTAATTATCAACGGATATTGTTTTAAGTCTCGTTTGGATATTGTTTTAAGTCTCGTTTGGATTGAGCTTTTAAGTAACTTTTTTTTTGTTGTTGTTCGGGGTTTACCCTTTTTTTATTACTATAGTTTTATTAGTCTAGATGGATCCCAATAATAATAATAATAATAAAAAATTAAAATCTTGAAAAAAATCTAGGAAGGACAACAAAAAAAAGGGGACTTTTTTTACTTTAAAAACAAAAACTTTTTAGATTCATCTACACGAGACAGATCAAGAAAAAAATTTGACATAATTCGAAAAAAATATCACTATATATTTATAAATGAAAAAAAGGTTCAGAAAAAGTGATTTTTTTAGCTGTCCATTTTATTTTCTTTCCTTTAAAAGAAAAACAAAAAAAAAACAAATAACTTTTAGGTGCTTTGGACTATTTGTTATTTCACTTCCTACATACTAAAGGAGAGCCTAAAGGCAAGCATTCTAACAAAGTTTAGCTCTTAAATTACCAAATTAAAATATATATATATATATATAAAATAAAAAACCAGTTTACCTGTTGATATTTTTTTAATATATACTAGAAGCATCACATAATCTGAGTTTATAGATTCAAAGAAAAAAAATAGTTTGTCTGATAAATTCGATATTTTAAAATTTTATTTATTTATTTTTATGGAGTTCAATATCATTAAATTCTACTAAATCCAACAAAAAATCAAAAACATTATGAAACCATTTTTTTTATAGGAACATAATGAAATAGTTGATAAAAAAAAAGGTTCTAATAAGATGGTAACAACCCATCAAATCAAATTATAGCTAGTTCTAAAATTCTTGATTTCATCGAATATTTGGAAAAAAGAATGTTCCAATCCTTAGGTTTTGGCAAAACCAGTGTTTCACTAACCAACCAACCAAACATGCCATTCACATCTAAACCCTATTTATTTGGCTGGACAGCAAAGGCGATTGCGACGCTTAGCTTCTACAATATCCATTGACATGTGTAAGGATCCTCTGTTCCCAAATAACCCTGTCCCCTTGTCTTAATTTACTCACAACCATCGGATCATATGAGAATTTCAAGATGTGAAAATCTCAAAAGATATTCAATGGTTGTGAATGAATTGGGACAAAAGAGACAAGATTATTAGGAGATTGAGAATCCTTGCACCATTGACATGAATTTGTCAATCCAATGTTTGGTATTCAAATAAATACATAAATAAATGTTTGAAAAAAAGATTTTATGCCTATCTAAGAAGAAAAAAATTAAGAGAAAGAGCCAAACACGCCCCACAAAAATACAAAAGAAAAAGTTTAGAGGTTTAAAATGTAGCCAAGGCGTGCCAAAAAGAGGATAAGGTGTTGTGGATTGGCAGGGTGACAATGGAATCTCACACGCACGCTTTGCTTAAATTTGTTTATTACTACAGAAATTAAAAAACTATACAATATAATATAAATATTTTGGATCAAACACAGATCAGTGATATTAAAATTGTCTCTAGCTTCCTAAGTCAAAACCTTGACCCTGTCGAAAATGCCAAGCATGCTCGTCCATGACAGTATCCCTTTCCGAACTTTGCCACGTGGCAGGCTTGCCGGCACAGGTGCCGGCTCTAGATGGTAGGTGATGTAATATATTCATGTATGTACATAAACTATATCATCATATAAAAGTATTTGTATGAAAAATTGATAAAACCAAACCAACTATATGAGATGACTAAAGTTTTGATTTTCGATCAATTATGACTAAAGTTTCGATTTTTGATCAATTTTTCATAAAGTATTGTCTGTTTTAGTTCTGAAATCACTATTGGCAAAACTAACCGAAATAATGACGACACATTTTACAATAAAAATTAAGTAGAGGGACATTTATAGAGCAACATCCACCACCTCTATTTTTCCCAGTATGAAATTTTACAAGTCCTTAAAACCTCTTGTGAATCCCTCTTTACACTAAATTGAAAAACTAATAACATCGAAGCGTAACTTTGAGTAGTTAGTTTCAATTCTTCAATCAACAAAACCAAAGTGTTCAATTCGGAGCCAAATTTCCCCCCAACCCGGATCAAACCGAACTAATTACACTCCTAATAATAATAATGTAATGCAAGTTAAATGTTAATTTGTATGATTTGAAAATACCACCTAAAAAGGAATTTTAAGTAGGTAACCATAAAGGAGACATGAAGGGACGGCATGGTTGAGTGAGTGAGACATATTTTACTATTTCCATCAGCTGGTTGTTACAGCTTAGAAAGAGACTGTTGCTTACTTCACCGCCTTATCTATCTCTTTCTCTTTCTTTTTCTTTTTCTTTTTCTTCTTCTTCTTCTTCTTCTTCCTCCTTCATCTAGAGAGAGAAAGTTAACAGAGAAATCCAGAGAGAGATGGGAAATTGCCAGGCTGTTGATGCTGCAGCACTAGTGATACAACATCCAAGTGGGAGGTTAGAGAGGATGTATTGGTCGATAAGCGCTAGCGAGGTGATGAAAATGAACCCAGGTCACTACGTATCTCTAATTATTCCATTGCCTAACTCAGGTGAAGAAAATACAGATGACAGGACTGTACGATTCACTCGTGTTAAGCTTCTTCGGCCTAGTGACACTCTTGTTCTTGGTCGGGCTTACAGACTCGTCACATCCCAAGGTTTGTTTTTTTGTTTTGCTCTCATCAACCACTATATACTGGAGGAATATATTTTTGTTGATAGTCTTGCTTTTTAAGTAGCGTGTGTTTTCAAGTTGTGAATTTTTGAGGTTTTTTTTTTTTTCTCGGGTTATAGAGGTTATGAAGGTGTTGCGAGCGAAGAAGTATGCGAAGATGAAGAAGAGCCTTTCAGAATCAGATGACAAGTCGGAGACAGGTCGAGAGAAGCAGAGTTCAAGTTGTGAGGCAGAAGACAAAAAGCCCGAATTGGAGAAAACCAGCCAGGTAAACTCTCTTCAGCCAGTAAACCAATACCTACCAAGAATTTTCTCTCTTCCTTATGTATCGATAAATACATACATACATATATATATATATATAGCTCTACGCATACATATCATTGAGGTTACAGTTTTTGTGCTCAGTGTGAACTTCGAATTCTCTATGTCAAAAAATACAAGTTACATTTGACTAAACAGAGACGTCAAATCAAGCAAAGCATTTGCATATCAATGAAAACATGTTTATATCAGATACAGTAACAAAACAAGATTATGCATATTAGTGTTTTATAATGTTTGACTCGTGATCATACACCCTAAAGACAAAAGATGCTGAGTAAACTAGAGAATGAGAGCAGATGATTGAAATTATGTTGCCTTCGGAAATGGAGTCAAATGAGATTCATAAGTTAAAGAAATACACAAAAATGTTTCAGTTTTCAAACAAATAAACTGACTGAGGTCATGACTACTAATCTTGTACTCACCTGAAAATTGCAGGCAATGAGTCATGAAAGACATCGGCAGAGGCCAGGATCCACAAATATTGCTGCAGCAAGGCCAAAAACATGGCGCCCTTCCTTACAAAGCATCTCTGAGGGTGTAAGCTAATGGCCGTTCTGGTCGTAATTTCCATTTGCAGATGCTTTTCATAAATGAACCTTTTAAACCTGGGAACATAAAAATGGTAAATCCATGAAAGTTGCTATCGAGATTTCAGTGCCATTGTCACTCACAGTTCTAGTGTTTAAACCACTGTTAGTAGTAATACCGCTCTGTATAGCATAAGAAAGCAATGAATTTGACATTTTTCTCATTACCCAGATCTGAAATTAGAATTTACACTTTGCCTTCAAGCTTTTCAATGTTCATGGTCATAAATGAAAGATTTAGGAATGGTTACTTGGGCGGTTCTGAGTTCCAAATTTCCCAATTCTGATCAACATCATTTTGTGCCCATAATAGAGATGCCTGAGCAATGGATTCGGGATTTTTCTCATTACCCAGATTCGAAATTAGAATTTGTATTTTTCATATAAGCTTTACAATGTTCATGGTCATAAATGAAATATTTAGGGATGATCACTTGGGCAGCTTTGAGTTCCAAATTTCCCAGTCTTGATCAACATAATTTTGTGCCCATAATAGAGATGCCCGAGCAGCCAACGGGGCTCCAGGAAGTTTCTTCTCCTTGAGTGCAACCAACATATCTGTGAAAGGCTCCACCAATAATGTCCCAGGTCCTCCGTACTCTTTGTGCAGAAATTCACCAAAAATCTGATTTCCACACGAGAAGCAAATTATTGAGAGAAATCCAGAACAAATTAGATAAGATTTCAGATCTACTATCATTGGTTCAAAGCATAACGTACGAGTCCACATCCAGGACATTTCAAACAATCGGACCTAACATGCAAAAAAAAGATAAAAACAACTTGATGAAAGCTGTCTCGATAGCACTGTCTGCTCTATGGTAAGGTCAGATATTTTTTTTTCAGGAGTCAATCATTGAATTATTTTCAGGTAAAGAGCAAGCAAGGTTTTTTAAAAAAGAAAGAAGAAAGAAAAGAAACAGAAGTTCATTTTCCATAAAAATTGTAATCTGTACTGTGAAATACAATAATTGAAATTGGGAGAAATAATCAAGTTAGGAGGATTAAGATAATTAAATTATACAGAACAAATATGATGTGTTGTAACTAGACACCACCAAGCTTTAGGAAATGACTATCAGTGTCCATTATCCTTGGTAGACCATGTAAAATACCCACACAAAAAAAAAGATCACACGATTTGTGCTGCAAAAGGAAGATGTAAAGTCACCTGTTTTATCCTTATCATTGGTCTGACCAAAATAGAATAAGTGTCTATTCACATACTAAATTCCTTTTATTTAATTAATCCACTCATACAATTCCATGACCATTAAATTGATAACCCATTTTTGTATATGATCAGATATCTCTTCCATATTCAGTTACTCAAGCAGATCAATTCCATCAAAGGATTCTGATGCAGGCGTGATTTAAAAATAATATTTTTATTTTTATTATTTTGGACTAATATTTTTTTTTTCTTTGGGATAAATTTCGGACTAATAGTTGATTAGGAATATTTTGATTTGAGTATGGAATTTAAATCATGCCTGCATCAGATACTAATTAAACCCAGTAACACAAGCCATGACCGACTGTTCTTTTACTTTCTGAAAGGAAATGTGTCTATCTATATTAATAAAGCCATCTAGATTATATCACTGGTAGTGACTGGAAGGCGAATATTCTGGGGCCATTATAATACCACATCCATCCTCTTAGTTCATAATGAAAGGATTGGTATTTCTCATCTGGATACCATTTGTATATCGTTTTAATTCTTTCAAACAAAAGATCTGCACATTGCCACCTGATTTCCTCCTCAACAATCCCCGATCACCCATAAAAAATAAAAAAATAGATTAAACAAAAAAGTGCTGATTTTCTGTCTTCCAAAATCTATGCTTCGACTATTAAATCTGTTTTAAATATCGAATAAGTAAATAATTAGAAGTTTCTTACCTCATGAGGCATCAATATGAAATTGAATATCTAATTCTTAATTCATTTTTAATAAGTTGAGACGTGCTTGCTAATTATAATTTTCTAATGGCTGCCTCATCTTTGAATAGGTCTGAATTGGTATGTATAATTCTTAATTAATGAGCCGGTATGTACATGTAGTAAGCTGACTTTTATGATACCAGCACATGTAATTTGTTATCTAATGATGAAGTTATTACGTGGTCTTGGATAGAACTCAATCCCAAAAGCTAGCTCAAGAGGTGATGGCCTGAATTGGTACGTATATGTAGCATGCTCATTCAGTAGCACCTGAGGGGTGCTGGCCACGGACACGCACCCTACCCATCCTTGTCACTTCGAGTCTGATACCATGTTACAGGGTCTTGGGTAGAAATCACCCCAAAAACTAGCTATTAAAGTGAGGGTGCCCTCATGCTTATATACTTAATATAACTTTAGTTTTAATCGATGTGGGACTTCGTTTCACATGATAGGTGGAGGTGTTTGTTCTTGAGCCTGACCACGATGTTCTTGAGTCCGATGACGAAGACAACGAAAGCGATGTTCTTGAATCGGATGGCAATGGCCACTATCTTCCTTAGTTCATCGATGTTCTTGAGTCCGACTCCAACGACCACGACGATGTTATTGAGTTTGTCGAAGATGACGACGTCGGCAATCTTGTTGAATAGGATGGCGATGTCCACTGTTTTCCTGTGTTCAACAGCCTTGACTCCAACAATGATCTTTTCGACTCCCGAAATCAATACTCCCGGCATTCTCAATGCAAATAAAGTTGCAGGACAGAGCATTTTGCATTAGTTTCATGACAACAGGTTCTGGTATTTGTACACAGAAGGTCAGCGAATTAGGAAAAGCATGGCTAATTCTATTCAGCGACACAGAACAAAAGGGCTACTGTGTTACATAAGAAAAAGAGATTGGGGAAGCAGTTGGTTTTGATTGATCATCATTAAACGAGGATTTGTAAGTGGGGGAGTCACGAGCTTGTCTTGATATTTCTGATTGATTATGGACCCTCGCAAGGACGTGAGATTTGTAAGTGGGGGAGTTTGAAACGACCCCGTCCTACATTGGAAGTTTGCATGGGTATCTTGGGCATATAAAGCACTACAAACTTGTGCCTAAGCTTTTGGGTCATGTTGGTAAACCGACAAGTTACTTGGGCCAGTAGGTAGTGGGGCATTATAAATGATATCAGAGCTGAAGTACTTGGGGATGGGTAGATGCGTCTCCCTAGCTTGCACGTCATAGGTACTGCTGAGTGAGCACGATGTTAGGTTTCAACACACTCAGAAATGATAAATAAGCAATCATAGACACAAATGAGACAAATATTTACGTGGTTTGGCCCAATGCCTACGTCCACGGGGAGAGAAATGAGAATGCATTATAAACTGTGTAACAATACAAAAACAGAGGAGGAGGAGCTCACTTTCTCAACTCAACTCACAGATACACTCTTAATAATTCTGATTTTCAATTCAGCTCATAGCTCTTCCCAATTTATACAAAAACGGGAGAGCTGCTTGCCAACAACTAACTACCATTACCAACCTCTGCTTGCCAGTAACCAACTACCAAAGTTAATAACACAGCCTCCCTAGGTTGGAAAGAAAATCTATAGCCCAAACTTTGCAGCCTCCATTCTTGACTCATGGTGTAGATACTCAACAATTCTTCCCCTCCATACCCATGGGGAGTAGGATCCTTACTGAGAGTCTATCCCAGCAATGTCCTTGCATAAAGCACCTTGATGTTCGGTATCATTGGATACGCGAAGTGATGTCTCGAGACCACCTTTGTAAGCATGTTGACTGGATTCCTATCTGTGTGGATCTTGACCAATTCCAATAACAGCTTCTCCATCACTTCGCGTATCCAATGATACCAAACATCAATGTGTTTTGTGCGAGAATGGTACATAGAATTCTTGCTCAGGTCTATGGCACTCTGGTTGTCACAATGTATCGTGAACTTCTCTTGCTTTAGTCCCAATTCTGAGCTGAGCAAGAATTCTCTGGTTGTCACAATAAATGCTTCAACCACAACATCTCTTTCCCAGCTTCTACTGCAGCAATATACTCTGCCTCGATTGTGGATAAAGCAACACACTTTTACAGCTTGGACTGCCAAGACACAGCTCCCCCTGCAAAAGTACATAGAAATTCTGATGTAGATTTTTTACCATCAAGATCACCTACTATATTTGAATCTGTATAACCTTCCAAGATTGGTTTTGCTTCTCCAAAGCATAGACACATTTTAGATGTACCCTTAAGGTACCTCGGAATCCACTTGACTGCTTCCCAATGCTCTTTTCCCGGATTGGAAAGAAATCTACTTACAACTCCAACAGCATGAGCAATATCTGGTCGGGTGGACACCATTGCATACATCAAACACCCTACAGCGGATGAGTAGGGAATTCTCTCCATCTCTTCTCTTTCTTTTGTAGAAGAGGGACAAGAACTCTTGCTTAGCTTGAAATGATTAGCCAGCGAAGTACTGACTGGCTTGGCATCTTTCATGTTGAACTTTTCAAGCACCCGTTCAACATACTTCTCCTATGATAACCACAACTTTGTTTTCTTGTCACGCATAATTTTCATACCCAAGATTTGTTGTGCAAGGCCTAGGTCCTTCATATCAAAGGACTGTGATAACTCCTTCTTTAGTGATTTGATTGTTGTTGCATCCTATCCAACAATTAGCCTGTCATCAACATAGAGCAGGAGTATGATGAAGTTTCCAATAGGAAATTTCCTGACATATACACACTAGTCTGCAGTAGTTCTCTTGTACTCATGACCCACCATGAATGAGTCAAACTTCTTATACCACTGTCTTGGCACTTGTTTGAGGCCGTAGAGACTCTTCTTCAATCTGCATACTGAGTTTTCTTTCCCTTTTACTTCAAAGCCTTCTAGTTGCTCCATGTAAATTTCTTTCTCTAAATTATCATGGAGAAATGTCGTCTTCATATCCATTTGTTCAAGCTCCAAATTCGAACTGGCCGCTAGTCCCAAAACTACTCGAATGGATGTCATTTTCACAACTGGCGAGAAAATTTCATCAAAATCAATACCTTTTTTCTGCCCAAAACCTTGGATAACCAATCGAGCCTTATACTTGACCAGCTTTCTGCTGCCATCTTTCTTTAACTTGAACACCCATTTGTTCTTCAATGCTTTTTGACCCTAGGGAAGTTTTACCAAATCATAAGTTTGATTTTTCTACAAGGATTACAACTCTTCTTGCATAACTTGCTACCAGTTACTCTTCTCCTTATGATTCTGAGTTTCTTGAAAACTTTCTGGCTCCCCCTCATCAATAAGCAAAATATACTCAGAAGCAGGGTATTTTGATGGCAGCTTAGGCTCTCTTGTTGATCTTCGTAACTGTAGACCAACAGTCTCTGGCGGAAGGGGTTATGGCTCCCCCTGCTCAACGCCATTTTCTTCCGGATCATCTTTTCGAAATCCATCTTGCAACTTTACATCATTGACTGCATGCTGCGGTAGCTCTTTTTCATCAGTGGCATGCTGTGATGATGCGGGATTCGGAACAATTTCTGAAACATCATCAACTTTGGGTTTGACTGGTTGCCCAATGTCTTTTAAGGTCTGGCCTTCTTGAAACACCACATCTCGGCTTCGAATGACCTTCTTGTTTTTCAAATCCCACAATCTGTATCCAAATTCTTCATCTTCATAGCCAATAAAAATACATGGAGTAGCTTTATCATCCAGCTTCTGCTGTGCTCCTTAGATACATGTGCAAATGCTTTGCACCCGAACACTCTCAAGTGAGAGTAAAAAATCTCCTTTCCAGACCACACTTTTTCTGGAATCTCAAAATTCAGTGGAACTGATGGCGATCTGTTGACCAAATAGCAAGCAACACGAGCAGCTTCTCCCCAAAATGACTTCGGCAAGTTTGCCATTTTAAGCATACATTTGACCTTCTCCACAATGGTCCAGTTCATTCTCGGCTACACCATTGTGTTGTGGGGTTCTAGGAACAGTTTTCTCATGCCGGATGCCACGAGTAGCACAGTAGGCTTCAAACTCCTTTGACGTGTACTCACCTCCATTGTCTGTTCGGAGACACTTCAACTTCTTTCCGGTCTCCCTTTCCACCATAACATGGAATATCTGAAAATGCTAGAACACCTCAGCTTTGGTCTTTAGGATATAAACCCATACCTTCCGTGATGTGTCACCAATAAACGTTAGGAAGTATTTTCTGTCACCCAAAGATTCTACTTCTATGGGACCGCATACATCAAAGTATACTCTACTCAACAACTCTGATTGTCTTTTGGATGATGAGTGGAAAGCGACTCTATGATGCTTCCTAAACAAGCAGTTGTCACAAGGATACAATTTCGCATCTTTGGCAAAGGGAATAAGAGACTTCTTTGCCAGAATCTGCAACTATTAAAATTTACCATCACCTACCACACACTCACCTACTACACTCACCTACCACCACCATTCACTACACCTACATCTATATAAGGAACCATTTGTAATAGCATCAATAACATCAATATATACATTATTCTATTTCTTTATACATTAAATTTCTACATGGTATCAGAGCAAGGTTAAGAATCTAAGTAATTTCGCTTCACCGGCGGGCGGCAACCTCGCCTTGGCCGCCCACCGGACCTCAGCCTATTCCGCTGATAAAATCAACAAAGATCTGTGCAACTGTAGCCCTCTGTTATGGTCAGGAGCGCTTCCTCACGATGGTTAGATTAACTGGGTTTGCCACGCTCACTGTAGCGATGCCGGCACTACGATACCAGGTGAACTTCGCCTGTCGGAGACCACCTAGACAACCAAAAACACACAACACTCAGACAACACAAACACGAGGCCCACGGCTCTCTCCCTCAACCAACTCCAATTTTCCGCACTTCTACCTTGAGAGACTTGAGGTACCTGACAGCTTCATCAAGAACAGCAACAGTGTTCATTTGGTTGGCACCGGGAACAATTCCTCTAAGTGTCTTCACCATCTTCCTCATTTTCTCACGCTTCCTTTCACTGTTACAGCTGCCAGCGGACTTCTGTAAAGAAGGCAACCTGCTCTTTTTGGGTTTTGAACCGTAACTAGAGCAAGAATCCGAGGAATCGCTTTCATAATTTCCACAACCTGATCTCTCTCTCTCTCTCTCATCCAACGCCATGGCTGAATTGTTGATCGGAAACAAGAATATGAATCTCTCTCTTAAACTCAAGCTCTTCACTGCTATTCTAATAGGGCTGTGTTTCAGTGTCTCCATAGCTGAGCTTGAGAGGTTCGAACACCCTGCAAAAGCTGATGGGTCTCTTAGCGTTTTGGTGGTTGGTGACTGGGAAAGAAAAGGAAATTACAACCAATCTCAAGTTGCTCTTCAGATGGGCAAAACAGGAGAAAAGTCGGACATAGATTTCATCATTTCCACCGGTGATAACTTTTACGAAGATGGATTGACTGGTAGATGATCCAGCAAACAGCTTTTCTCTCTCTCACTTTACTTTTTCCCACCCACCAAAACCTAATCATCCTGCTGGCCATGTATCTTCTTCTTTCCACACACTCCTGTTCCTCACTCCACTTTCTTTTCTTTTTTTTATATATTTCTTTTAATCCATCTTTTGAAAAGAAACCGCACTCACCCCACGTGCCCCCAGCTACTTCCCTTCAAAAAAAAAAAAACAAAAAAAAAAACAAACCCAATTTCCAATTTGCACAACCAACCATATTTTATTCATCTCAGGTATCAATCCTGATCCCAATTTTACACGAAAAAAAAATAAAATAAAATAAAATAAAATAAAACCACAAACAAACAGAACCCACACAAACCAACCACACCCACAGTGGGATTTTTCTTCTCTACTCTGCTGCAGATCTCTTCTTCTTTCCTCCGTCCTGGGCGGCCCTTGACGGTGCTGCCTCCGTGTTTCCTACGCCGCCGAGCACGTTCACTCCTCCATACTCCTCCACTGCAGCATACGGCGGACCTCCAAATCGGAACATCACAGTGGCCTTCCGCTTCAGCTCCTTATTGTTTTCCGTCTTTGCACACTATTATCTCTGCTCGCGCATCCTTATACATGCGTTGGAGCAGAAGCCAGTTGGGCGTTTAATGCTGCACCTCATTGTCCTACTCTGCAGCCGGTGCGACAACTTTGTGACCGCCGTCATGGGACTCCACACATACTTCAAAGTATACTGATTAGCCTCCACATCCGTTTGCACACGCCATTTTTTGCTCCACCGATGCATCGGTAAAGTTCAACGGAGCAAACAGAGGTGTTTTGGTTGAGGTTACGGGCACTCCGCACCAGTTATCTCTCTTGTTGAACTCGTTGAGGTCGGGAACAAGAGAGTGAAGCAGAAGGCGGGAACGAGAGGCCATTATTCTGGGTAGCTGACGGAAGAAGAGGCCATTGTTTTTGGGTTGCTGAGTTGTTCAAGCGAAACTAGCAGTTTCAGACTGCAAAGGTGTCCGAGTTTCAGACTGGTTTGGTTATGCTTCCCAGCCTCAGCCTCCGCCTTCATTTATATTAGAACATGACGAAGAGGCGACACGCGCAACTTGCTCGATCACGAGCATCGCGGTGTCTGGCGCGCCTTTTGATGCTCGTCTTGACTGAATTGGGCACGCTTTTTGATGGCACGCTTTTGAAAGTTTTGAGGCACAACCTTTTTGAGGTGCGACTTTTTAAGGGGGTCCCGACAGATACTGTAAACTGTTACCGACATTGATTCCGAGTTAGCTCCTTTATTAGGTCGACAAGACTCTGATAACTGTCCCGACATTGATTCCGGTTAGTTTTCATACAAGGGGTCCAGCAAGACTCTGTAAAACTGTCACCAACTGTTCACAACCATTGTCTGCAATACAACCGGTCCGACATTGACCCCATAAACTGTCTTCTACATCGGTCTGACACCACACATACAAGTGTCCTCTACCACGTTATGACACCCCCCCATTACAGTGTCCTCTACAACGTTATGACACCACCAAACAGCTGCCTCTACACGTTTATGACACCACACCCCTACAAATCCTCTACAAAGTTATGACACCACCATCAGTGTCTTCACAACGGGCTGACCGACCATACAGTGTCTCCTATTCCTCTTCTTATTTTTATGTATTTTATTATTCTTGTTACCTCTCTCCAGACTCAAGTTGGTTAGTTCCTCTCTCTTGAGTTTTGCGGGGGCTATTAAAATCTTACCAATCACCTACACACACTTACCATCAACCTTACCACACACTCACCTACTACACTCACCTACACCAACTCCACTACACCTACATCTTTATTAAGGAACCATTGTGTAATAGCATCAATAACATCATATATACATTATTCTAATTCTTTATATATTATTCTACAAATATGTTGTTTTTTTGTTTTTGGCTTTTTTTTTTTTGTCTTGAAAAGAAAAGTGGAGCCAACGTGCGGTGTGCAACGGTTGTGTTTCGGTCTTGTCAAAAGATGGAAGCGTTAAAATAAGAAAAGTTGAGTGGGAACATGGCAGTGTTGTGGAAAGAACGAAAAGAAAAAGTATGTGTTTGGATCATGTCTGGTGGGTGTAATGGGATTGAAAAAAAAAATAAAGAAAAATCATAATTGAACCTTCCGAGCTTTTGTGTTTTCAAAAGCCAGTGGCGAATAAAGAAGCTAGAATAAAGAAAACAAAGGAAAAGAAAGTATGAGTGGTAGCATCTTCACCAATGTGGTATGATTTGGGTCTTTTTTTTTTTTTTTTTTCTATCAATCAATATATTATAAAAGAGAGCTATATATATAAAAATAAAGAAAGTTTGGCTTGCCGCTTTACCCATGATACGCAATGTCTCGACGGTTGATTAAAAAAAGGAATTGTGGGTATGAAAAGTGGAGGAACAAAATAAAAGGAAAGAGGTAAGGAAATATTCTTTATCTGATTTCACGCTCACAAGAAAAAGCAAATCGCGGAAAATACAATTCCTTCACACATGTCATACGTTATTACTTACTCTGTACAATTGTTTCTGGAGGCACTTTTCAGCAGCCTACGAAGAAGATCTTCCAATCTTCAGGTTTCTAGAAGGCATTTTTGTTCGGCCGTCAAGCTGCGGCCAGAATTTTGCTTCCGACAGGCATCGCGATGACTTCCAGCTCCCCTGATTTCTGCCTGAAGCTGCTGCGGTGGCATCTCGCTCTTTCTTCTGCAGTCGATTCACACGTCGATGTTGAATACGGGTGCAACTCGGGCGGTTTCGGTCGGGTTGGGGGGTCTGCAAGCCCGACCGAATTGTATTTTGGCACTGCCACCAAGCCCGCCCAATTCCCGACCAGGAACACCGAACATTTATTGCCCAAGCCCAGGCCAAGCTTATGTATTTTTGACCTCGGGTTGCCCGAATTTGGCCCGATTGCCGAGTTCAGGAAACCTGTAGGTAGATCTAAGGATAGACATAAAAGAGCTAATCTCAATTGTAGAAACTAAACCAAAAAAAAAAAATAAAAAAATAAAATTCAAGACTAACTCTTTTACTTAATAGAAGTGCTAACCAAAAATAAAACATAAATAAAATAGACTAACTTTTTACTTAAAATTTTTATTATATTTACATAATTTATTAACATTATATATATAAATTAGTGTATTATTTATTATATAATTTCATATAATATATTAAACTTGAATTCGGGTTCGGCGTTGCTCGGGTTGGCCATTGGTTCTGCCCAAGCCCGGCCCGAATTGCCAATTCGGCATCAAAATCTGCCCAAGCCCGTTCAGATTACAATATATTGTATTTCCCAGCCCTAAAAAAACTCGGGGCTCCGGGCTCGGTTGCTCGGGCTTGAGCCCCGCCCGAGTCTGCACCCTTGTTGACCTAAAAATTGACTTTGGGCAAGAGAGAGAAGTTTGGTTGTAGCATGAGTGCTCCTTCAGCTCCGGCGAGCACGACGCGGTGGTTGGTGGTCGCCATCGCCGGCCACGTTCCATTGAGAATTTGGACGAGTTCCGACGAGCATGGAGGGGCGACGGCGGGGCGGCCTGGGTCGAAGAAGAAGAAGGAAAACCAGTGAAAATCAGCGAAATTGCCACAATTTGCTGGTGACATGTTTATGGATGGAAGAAGAAAGTCCGGTGATCGATCAGTGGAATTCGGACGGAAATTGGAGGATCATTTCACTAAGTGGTGGGAAAGGAGGCCGTGGAAAGATCGTTTGAAGTGCGAAGTTTTCTGGGAAAGTTCCATAGCCACAGAACAGCAGAAGCCAAGAGATCTCAATTGGTATGGGTTAGAAAGGTGAATCTTCTGGATGTCAGCTTTGCTTTGAGATCAGGTTGTGGTTCTGGTGTGTGTGAGAGAAGCCAGAAGAAACCCAGTACAGATGTGGCCAGAAGGATGAAGTTCAATGAAGACCATGGTGCTTGCATACAAGATCTGAAACACACAGAGGATCTTTGTTGGAAGACTGCAGCGGAGTGAAATTGTATGTGATAGAGGTCGGCGGCAGCCAAGACGAGGCTGCGCCCGCCGGTGAAGCGAATTAACTAGGTTCTCAACCTTGCTCTGATACCATGTTTAAATTGAATGTATAAAGAGAATTGTATTATTTGATGATGTGTATAATGGTGTGTTGAGCTCTTCTACATTCATGTAGAGGAGAGCGGAGAAAACAATACAAACCGAAAGGTAGAAGCACAAAACCAAACAACATTATTAAAGGTACATTATTAAAGCATACTAATTATTATACTTACCTAATTATAAAGCAACATTTACATATTATATTCCGGTTAGATAAAGCAAGGCAAACTTTTAGACACTCACTCTTCAAGCTTATAGCTTCGCCTCTGGGAATTTTCATTTTTTCTTTCCATGGGCATAGTAGCAATGCAACACATCAACACTCCCAGACCCTTGAAAAGGACATTATACAAGCAATTACTTTGGAAGTGTAATAAAAATACACAGCATGGAATATTTCATTATATCATATAGTGCCAAAATTCCTGAAAGTCACAACTTTCTGTCTGGTGTAGACAAAATCAACTTAAAAAGTTAAAAATTGCTTCAACAAAGCATCATCACTTTTTCGCACAACTTAGCCTCTCATGAGCTTCTTCACTGTCTTTCCATTTTCTTCTTCCTCCAGTTACTGGCCAATCTTTTTGAAGTTCTTATCAACACTTTCCGATCAAAAAGAAAAAGTGAACCACCTGAAAAGGACAATGCACGTCAAGCAAGATACTTTGCAAGATATAAGAAAATGCCCGCTTTCTACTCAACAAAATTTAATGGGAAAATGCCCTAAATGAAGATAATGACACAATTTAATCACAAACATGACAGCAATAAATGCACCTACAGCTTCAAACCATGTTATTCTATGAGTTAAACATAAACTGTGTGCTACTCACTAACTATCTGAACTTATCAATTTACAGAGAGGACAATACCAGAGGCAGCTAATCTTAAACAAAGGCTCTTTGTAGTGAGGTAAAAAAGCAGGACTTAGAGACCAAGGACAGACAAAAAATTTTGAAATTGACAAATAAGCATCAATGCCATTCCGCAGAAAACAATGCAATTGCATATTTTCCAACGCCACAAGTTGTGTGGAGAATGTGTCCTAAGCAAGAATTATTAAACTCCGCCAGTGGGTTTAAAGGAAACAAAAATCGAAAATAATTTAACCACAATCAATGTGAGGCAAAAAATGAGATACACTAAGTGCCTAGTTGGATCTCAATATCTCATTGAATTTGAAGAGATTACAAATGGGAATTTTCAATGATTTGATGTCGT